CCTCCTCTCCCCCTGACAATCGTCACTATATAAATTCCACCTAAGATCATAGTTCATTCAGTGATATTAAGGTCATAGAACCCCCTCCCCCTTACCTACCCATCCATCCACCGACACTCAAGATCAGGTCACGCCTCATCCACTCCCTCACTTGAGCCAATAAGTTGAATCATTAAGGAGTTACACGGGTAAGTAACCTTCCTGACGGTGCTCACGTTTATCTGAAGAAGGTCGTGAGTGAGGCGAGATGGTCCGCTCACGTTAGCTGATTCAAAACTGTTTTACGAATAATTCTGAGACGTAGTTAAGTGGTTCAGAATAGGAGATAAGGGACTGGATGTCGGTACCGAGTGATTCTGAATCGTCTTTGGGGTGATAATGATTCGTAGTATTTTTTTCCAGTGGTGATGTGCCGCCTCAAGGTAAAAAGAACATGAAAATCTACGTATAAATAAAAGAGATTATCAATGTCAATAAGATTAAAGTGCACAGACAGACGTACAGACCGATAGAGACAGACAGACGGATAGACAGACACCCAGACGGACAGAGAGACCCACGAAGCCAACAGACACCTCCCCCTCCTGCCCCCCACGCCCCTCCCAATGATCACTAGTCTCCTGGGTCTTTTACCACGATCCCTTCCTCCTCGTCGTCACCGCCTGCAGGAGAGTGATGCCTCCCCTACACCTCCTCCCATCACAATGACATATATTGGTACCACTGTGATTATACTGATGTGTTGGGTGTGCCTCAAGGCTGTTATCTCGTGCTGTTTGGAAAGTGAGAGAGAGAGAAAAAAATAGAGAGAGAGAAAGTAGAGAGAATAAGAAAAAAATAAAATAAATAAATTATTACATCGCAAAAAATTATCCCTTTGAAGCTATTTATTAGGTAGAACAGCGTCACCTAGAGGCCGGAAATGAAACTACAGCACCAAATCTTGTTGCAACCAGACTAGGGGTGAAGGCTGAGGAGCACCTATCACTACTAAAGCCAAAAACGAACGAATTCACCTTGGACCATTCACACGATATTCAGAAAACATTAAGTTCGATCATAGTTTAACTTAACAGGTGATTGAAGGACTAGATAAAGAAGATTCACTGTAAATTTGGAGTACATAGGTCAAAGGTCAAAGTCACAATGGGTCAAGTTGTAAATATGAGTAATATGTCTTTCACAAAATAAGTGGATTAAGTGAGGTGAAACTTTGGCCTGTGGGGTAATGAAGGTAGAGATGTTTTGTTTTGTTTGAGAATGAAAGCTCAAGGTCAGAGGTCAAGAGTGAAGGGCAATAATCTACCTTGACCTAAGATTCGTAGCAACTGTAATAACTAACACAGAGTTCTTGTTCAACTATTTCGTCACCTCCGTCCTGCCATTACACTCTCTCTAAATCTATCACATCTATCGTGGTCTATCAGAGGTCAAGGTCAGAGGTCAAGGTGGTGGTTCAAGTGTTGAGTGTCTGTGTGTCTGTAGTGTTGTATTATATGTGTGTTGTCTGAGTCTCTTTAATATTATTTCCACATTAATCGGAAATGACAGGTGTGTGTTGAAGGACTCCTGCAACACACACCCACTAGTCGTGTTGCATAATAATTGTACCTCCTTAATTGATATGATTGTCTTAACGTGATGTTAGCTGAGAAACTGATCTCCTGTTATGAGGAGAGGGATGACGGTGTAAAAGTCGAAACATCAGGAATAAACATTACATTCTAACCCTTTTGATCCCGTAGTACACCACTTGTTGCCCCGCCTCCAGTGACTCTATCGCAAACATCAGAACAAAATTAAAGAGACACAGAGAAAAGAAACAATACAGAGAGAGAGAGAGAGAGAGAGAGGAAAATAACGGAACATAATACACTTCCTTGATACGTTTTCTCGTCTGGTCAAATAAAGAATTAGTTTTTTTACCTGCCCGTGGACCTTGTTAACCACGGGACACCCTTCCCCCTGCCTAGCGTCCTCCCCTCCTCTTCCTTAGGCCCCCTCCCTACCGCCTTCCCCTCCCCCCCGTCATCTGGGTTTTCGAGTCTCCCCCTTAAGTCTCCTCCCATTATGGAGATTCACACCTTAACTACCCATTAACTAGGTCTCCATTAATAGATTCCTCATTAAATAAACCACAATTAACTAGGTCCCCCCAATTTATAAAAGGCCCCATTACTTGAGTACGTCCCCATTAAGCAGACCCTCCCATTAACCCCCTCCTTATCTTTAACTCGTCCGCCACCCTTCAACCGGCTAGTGATGACTGGATAGCGTGTGTCTTATCTCTTCCACCCCCCCTCTCCCCGCCTATTGATAACACCCCCAAGTCGGTTTCATCAGGAAGGGAAGTGGAGGGGGAGGGGAGAGAAATAGGGAGGGGGTAGTGGAAGGCGAAGGGGAGGAAAAATTAGCAAACACGGAATAACATCAATGACGTCAACACAATATCATCCGTGACGTCATTGGTGTTGGCACATCACAAAAACATTATACTTTGTTAACACCAAACACCAGCAGGCGCTTAGGGAAACCAAATCTTATCCTCTAGTTAAATATAAATAACCAAAAAATTAACTATCTATCCCAATACATACAATTAATTGCACCATAACTTATTTAGACGCAATAAAGGTTTTCTCAATGGTGCCAACTCTCGTGTTTTGTTTTTTTTGCCAACTCGTATTTTTTTTGCCATGAAGTAATTAAATGTAAATAAATCTATAAATAGATATGATGTGAGTAAATGGAATAAATATAGACTGATGTAAGTGTGTCTCTCTCTCTCTCTCTCTCTCTCTCTCTCTCTCTCTCTCTCTCTCTCGTGTAAGTGTTGAAGGTGAACGTGACCAGCCATGATAAAGGTGAACTATGACCTTTGTGTGTATAAGGTTAACGTGATAGATTTGTATATATTACCGTCACCACCACACACACACACATACATACATACACTCATTCATATACACACTCATACATACATACACGCACTTAGTCACACACACGATTATATATACACACACACACACTTATACACATACATACATACATACATACATACATACATACATACACACACACTTATACCCATACATACATACATACATACATACATACATACATACATACATACATGTAATACATACACTGATGCACTTACACACACATCATTAACACGTTCCTTACTCAAAGACTCACACAGTTGCATCATCGAACCCGTGATATGAATCTTTATAACCCGACACCAATACCAGTGGGCCAACCTTGCCTAGTATAGTACTGTATGTCACCTTGAAACACTAACACACACCCCCCCCTCCTCTCTCTATCTCTCTCTGTCTCTCTATCTCTCTCTCCACCCACCCACTCACCCTTCCTCTCATCCACCAAGCACAAACTCACACCCTCACCCACCCACGAGTTACCGACCACCCTCTTAAGCACACACCCTCTCATACCCTCATCCACCCACCCACCCGACGAGGCTATTGACCTCTTAACGCCCACATGGCGCAATGTCGATGTTACAAGTATTAAAACAGTTTGTTCTTGGTAGCCTGCTGATGTGGTCTCTCTCTCTCTCTCTCTCTCTCTCTCTCAGCAGTACAGATACAAGTGGTTTACATGTGTGCACGGTTGTCTACATCAAGGGCGTGAGGGTGGGAGTGGGTGTGGGCGTGAGGGTAGGCGTGGCAGACGTAGAAGGGCGCGGGCGTGGTTTACCAAGAGTGGCAATACTGGTCCATGTGATATGATGTAAATCCGATGTGTGTGTGTGTGTGTGTGTGTGTGTGTGTGTGTGTGTGTGTGTGTGGTCGCGTGCAGGTGTGTATGCGTGCAGAAGGCGCGTGGGCAGGCGTGGTACATGCAAATTGGGGCTTTATGGGGAAGGGGGGGGGGGGAAACAAGGCCATTATAAACGACTTGACCTCAAATAAGACTATGATTTGGTCAGACAGTGTGTGTGTGTGTGTGTGTGTGTGTGTGTAAAGGGACATGTGCGGGTGTACGAGAAGAAGAAAAAGAAGAGTAGGAGGAAGAACAGTAGGAGGAGAAGAAAGAGGAAGGAGAGGAGGAGAAGCAGAAGAAGAGGAGTAGGAGGAGAAGGAAGAGAAGAGCAAGAGGGATGGAAGGTTCCCAGAATGTCAATATTTGTCGTCGACCTAAATCCTTTCTGTTGTTTAGGGATGATACCTCTCTCTCTCTCTCTCTCTTTCTCTCTGCCAACAGCTTCGACCAGGAAGATTTAGCCGCTGTGAGTTGTTCGAGGTGTTGACAGTTGTTACCCCATCATCTTTAACACCCCCCCCCCACGCCGCCCACTACCTGCAGATTACAGAACTAATGACCCGCGTCCACCTAGTCCATTCCATAGTGACCTCTGACCTCTGGTAGTGAGAGGGTGGGATCTAGGAAAGTCACAGGTCAGTGTATATGTCATATAGTGTATAGGGTTAGGTTAGGTCACGTTAGGTTAGGTTAGGTTTGGTCAGGTCAGGTCAGGTCAGTTTAGTATAGGGTGAGATTTGTTAAGGTAGGACAAGTTCAGATGATATACCGCGGGGCTAAGGTGTAGATAGTGTCAACATTACCTTAAACTACAGCACAGAGATTGTCATCCAAAATGGCGTCAAAACTGAACTTAGACTCATACCACCAATTAAAGACCATATCCTGACTTGTTAACACCAGACACTCACCATAACACAAGTCTTACCGTAAGTTCACAAAAAAGGTCATCTCCTGAGAGGTACAAGAGCTGCTGCCAGCCTGGGTCATGACCTATTGTGAGTTAAAAGGTCAATTTTGCTCATCTCTTTAGCAGGTCATAGGTTATGTGTCCTCTCTGACCTACATCGAGACCAACGTACGTGGAGATGGCCTGAGGATGACCTGTGTTTACGTAGTTTACCTCGTACAGGACCTTAGGGTAGGAGGGCGTGTTGACCTGACCTGACCTGACCTGACCAAACCAAGAACCCTAAAACACAGGTACTCACCTTTAAATTACCCGGATATACACCTGTAGAAAGGCCACCAGGATCTACAAAAGAAGAAAATACCAAAAAATATAAAATGAGTCGATCTCCGAAACGATATAAATCTACGGACATTACCAGCCATATTTCATTTACTCTATCCTTACTGTTGTGTATATGAATGACCCCTGACCTCTGACCTTTTGACCAAGAACCAAGAAAATACTCCACTACTATTGATATCGACCCAGTTAATGTGTTATCTGGTTATCTAGATATATCTTGGTGTATATGAGATAAGAATGAAGAAAATGGTTGGTAGTGGATGATGTTACTGTTAGTCAGGTCTGGAAGGGAAACATTTGGTCACTTTTTGAAATATTTTATCTTTGATCGTAAGTGAAATGAAATAATGAAATGAGTAAATGTATAGATAAATTATTATTACTATTATTATTATTATTAGTAGTAGTAGTAGCAGTATTTTCATCATTATTATTATTATTATTATTATTATTGGTGGTGATATTAGAGCTGTAATTAATATGCCTCATCATCATCATCATTACCCTGTATTCAATAACCATAATGAAACACTAACTAAATAAAAATAAACAATATACTCCTAGAACAAGAAGAATAAATTACTAAACAATACCCTTTAGAAAACATCCTATTTATACAAGAAAAACACAGATTAGTGAAATAAATAAATAAATAAATAAAAACACAGTGTATTTAAAAGACTTCAGAAGACAATAGCAGAGGCAATAAGCACCCCCCCTGTGTCACGGCGGCTTCTCCCCCTTTTTTTCCCCAGGATGGATAAGATGCAACTCCTGGATACTTTTACTTCCGCTTGGGAATAATAATAAGCACTGATGTTATCTCCTGTTCCACGGTCTCTCTGTCTCTCTGTCTCTCTGAGTGTTTGTATCTCCTGACACAGATGTTTGTTCAAGCTGACGTGTTGTAGTGTCAGCTGTATATGTTGCTCATGTCTTGTGCATCTGTCTCTCTCATTAACACAAACAATATCAAATATAATAACAACAATACGTATTTTTATGTCTATTTCGTTGTAGTTATATTTACGGTCGTAGAAGTTATATGACCTGCCATCTTGCCAGTCAGAGCTCATCATGACGTCACTACTGATTGGTTCTCTCTCTCTGTGATGTCAATACCCACGTCACTATTGATTGGTTCTCTCTCTGTGATGTCAATACCCACGTCACTATTGATTGGTTCTCTCATTGTGGAGTCATTAACCCCGCCATTAGTGTTTGGCTCTCTCACTGATTGGTTTTCTCACTGTGACGTCACTACTTACGTTACTCTTGATTGGTTTTCTCACTGTGACGTCACTACTTACGTTACTCTTGATTGGCTTTTTCCCTGTGGCGTCACTACTCAAAAGAGCATTGATTGGGTCTCACACTATAACGTCACAGCTCGCAACCTCTTTATCACAGCTACTGGCTCACGCACCTACATAACCACACAGGTGCCAGCTTCCTCTCTCCTCACTCTCTCTATACACGGTAATTAATGACAGTGCAGGGGTGTAATTACCTGTGGACACGGGCAGCGCGGCGTGACAGCTTCCGTGTGACAAATGATTCATCTAACGACTCGTAACACAAAATCACAAATAATAAAAATAATGGAAGACGAGAACTTTTGTGTTATGATTCAAAGTTAATAAAAAAAAGGTATTTATAATTTGGAAAAAGAGTAAATGTCTTTTTAGTTCAGCGAGACAAGAAATTAGTCAAGCGAGAGTTTGTTAGAGGAAGGAAAGCTGTTGACTACGGGGTCCTCTGGTGGCAAAGTCAGTCCCCAATATATTAAATGTCTTTTCCATTGTTTTTCTTTTGTTTTCTATTGTTTTTTTATTATTCTTATTGTTGGTTCTATTATTTTCTCGTTTGTTTTAGTTATTTTCTTGTGTCTTCTGGTTTATTTGTATTTTTTCGCGCGCTTTTCGTTAATTTTTGTTTTCGTGTTTTACGTATTTTTCAGTAATGTGGAACTGCCTAAATAGTCAAAAACAGCCTACAAAAATATTCTAATGATAACAGGGTAGGTGATAACAATTACAACAATATAATAACAGAACAGAATAACAAATTAACATGTCCTCATTACCAGTTAACACACCTGACCGATCACCTCACTCTTATGCAAATGACGTGAGTTTATGTTATATTTACACACCGTACATCACCGTCATAAAATAAATTAAGACTCTACGAACCTTAACGTAACTACTACCGTAAACTATAACGCTATAACGTAATAATTAACGCATAGCTACGTAATAAGCGGTAAAGTCTCCCTCCTTCGTTCTCGAGTAATTTAACTGGTTTATTACCTCCACCTATAGATAAATATTTAAACCACAGCCTCATCCTTCAAGTATCACTTAAACCACGCTACTGTGTTTTATTAGTTACTTATATAAACAGGATTGTCATTAACTACCTGGACTATGTCAATAAATTCCTGAAACACCGGAGTTTTTACCTTATCAACAAGACTGAAGTGGCCATAAATGTTTAAAAAGGCAATGTTATGGCACCAAAAACTACCTTAGTAACCAATCTGTTTGTCTGAGTCGCCTTAGCAACCGATCTGTTTGTCTGAGTCGCCACGGTTGCTAAGGACAGATGTACAATAAGTGAGAGGAGGAACATAGACGATATTTCCGGCTGGGTGATGAGGTGAGGTTATATACAAAGCTAGGCTGAGAGGAGCACCTAGGCGTGACTGACTGTCCTCAGCAACACTCACCACTGACCTTGTGAGCCCCTCCCTACCTCCCCCACCCTCCATACCTCCCCACCCTCCCTCTTTCCCCCACCCTCTTCATTTTCAAGAACAAATAATGGGTGGGTGGTCAATGAAGGGGAGAGACATGGACTAGAACAGACGTGACCGCAGTATAAATGGACCCAAGTTGTTATTTACATGTTCCATACAGTTATCCCTTTGACCTCTCTTCCTTAGCCCCCCCCCCTACACACACACACACACACACACACACACACACCTCCCATTACTCAACCAAAACACTGCGTCATCGTCTCATTAACTCACTGCATTACAAGACAAAACTAACTAGGTAATGAGACAGTCGTGCGTCATGTTACCTGTCTCAGAGCTTACCTTTATATTTACCTGTACTAATTAATCTCAGGTGTAAATAATGGAATGAGTGATGAGTGTAGATGTGGGTGGTAGTGAAGGTAGGTGGTGGTGAGTGGTGATTAGTGTAGGTGGTGATGACTGTAGGTAGGTGATGACTGTAGGTAGGTGATGAGTGTAGGTGGTGATGACTGTAGGTAGGTGCGTCACGGGGTCATGAGTAGGTCAAGGAAGAGGAGGTGTGGCCACTCGTATACTCTCAATTCTTGTCATTCTGTCCTTGGCTAAAACCCCTCCCTCCCCCTCCTCCTCCTCTCCCTCCTTCACTCACTCATTCCTTCTTATTCTTCTTCATTCCCTCTTTCTTCTTCTCCTCCTTCTCAAAACTGCCGTTGTACGCTAACCTCCGCCACACAATGGGCCATAAACAACCAGAACCAAATGCTATACACATCACACTATGCACCTATGCCCCATGAACGCGCTATGCTGCTATGCCCTACCCGTCAATATGTTAATTCCATGCTGCGCCATTAAGGTATGAATCAAAGCTGCGCCATTAAGTTATGACTCAAAGTTGCACCATTAAGTTATGACTCAAAGTTGCGCCATTAAGTTATGACTCAAAGTTGCTCCATTAAGTTATGACTCAAAGTTGCTCCATTAAGTTATGACTCAAAGTTGCGCCATTAAGTTATGACTCAAAGCTGCACCATTAAGTCACGACTCAAAGCTGCGCCACTAAGCTACCACATGAAGATACTCTGAACTACGGAAATAAACCACGATTTCAATCAACGTCCAGCAACTTTAAACTACGCCACTATGCTAAGTGATCAATTACGCAGCCACAACCGAACCACAACACCAAGCAGAGAACGCAACATACGCCATCATTATAACGCCATAATTCACTGCTACGCAACTCCTCTACGCAATACTTCCTACTTCCGGTTCACAGATAAAAAATATGTATACACAGTTTCCCCTCTCAATAACGGACTTTTCAATAGATTAATGGATACAGTTTCCCCTCTCAATAACGGACTTTTCAATAGATTAATGGATACAGTTTCCCCTCTCAATAACGGACTTTTCAATAGATTAATGGATACAGTTTGTCCTCACAATATATTACCTCTCAATAAAGTAATGGATACCAGACTAATTCTTGCAAGCCTCGTTTATTAATGGGAGTATTCTGTTATTGAGAATATCCGGTATTGAGAAGTCTGTTATTGAGAGGGTTTACTGTATAAGTTAACTGAGATATGATCGAGTTATAAGCGCCCAATCCTCACGAAGTAAGATTAACCAGCATAACGATAACCTAACCTAACCCCCAGGGCAGCCAACATGACCCCACACACCCCCAGGGCAGCCAACATGACCCCACACACCCCCAGGGCAGCCAACATGACCCCACACACCCCCAGGGCAGCCAACATGACCCCACACACCCCCAGGGCAGCCAACATGACCCCACACACACCCCCAGGGCAGCCAACATGACCCCACACACCCCAGGGCAGCCAACATGACCCCACACACCCCCAGGGCAGCCAACATGACCCCACACACCCCCAGGGCAGCCAACATGACCCCACACACCCCCAGGGCAGCCAACATGACCCCACACACCCCCAGGGCAGCCAACATGACCCCACACACCCCCAGGGCAGCCAACATGACCCACACACACCCCAGGGCAGCCAACATGACCCCACACACCCCCAGGGCAGCCAACATGACCCCACACACAGGCAGCCCAGGGCAGCCAACATGACCCCACACACCCCCAGGGCAGCCAACATGACCCCACACACCCCAGCAGCCAACATGACACCCCCCAGGGCAGCCAACATGACCCCACACACCCCCAGGGCAGCCAACATGACCCCACACACCCCCAGGG